ACACTCTTCTCTCTCACACACACACACACACTCTTCTCTCTCACACACACACACACACTCTTCTCTCTCACACACACACACACACTCTTCTCTCTCACACACACACACACACTCTTCTCTCTCACACACACACACACACTCTTCTCTCTCACACACACACACACACTCTTCTCTCTCACACACACACACACACTCTTCTCTCTCACACACACACACACACTCTTCTCTCTCACACACACACACACACTCTTCTCTCTCACACACACACACACACTCTTCTCTCTCACACACACACACACACTCTTCTCTCTCACACACACACAGACACTATCTCTCTCTTTCTCACACACAAACACACACTCTCTCTCTCACACACATACACACTCTCACACACACACACTCACACACACTCTCTCTCTCTTTCTCTCTCACACACAAACACACTCTCACACACACACACACACTCTCACACTCACACACACTCTCTCTCTCTTTCTCACACACAAACACACACAGAGAGAGGCCGACCGCAGCTCTACCGCAGATCCAGTGGAATCTTTCTCACATACATACTTTCTCATCACACTTTCTGTGTGTTTACTCTGGGCTCACACACTTCACACGCACACACACTTCACAAACAAACACACACACACACACACACACTTACTCACAAAGGGAGAGTTTAGCGTCAGCGACCTGACGGCAGAACACTGTGTGTGTTTGATTTCTGGTGATTGTGTGGTTATTTATTCACTGTCTGATTTGAATGAAAGCATCATCTGTATTTCTCTCTCTCTGAGTGAATATTTTCTTGCGTTATGAATTTCAGTTGGCCATAAATTGTCATTTCCTCTCCGCATTCCTCCAGTAATATAATTCCTCCCCTGCATTCCTCTTTCCTCTCTGGAATAAATCAGCCTGCAGAAACCAGCATCATATTCACTGGCAGCACAACAACAAAACATCAAGAACTCTTTACTCTCCTTCACGTGATCTAACAATGACAAACACTTCTGAAGAATTCAGAAAATAAGAACAAATATCTGCCAATAGGCTCAGAGAAATCTACTTAATTCAAAGAACAACAGATATTTGTTCTCATTTTAATCATAAACTCAGAAAACTAAAATTTCTCAGAAAATAAGACTTCATATCTTCATTTTGCATCTCCAGGAAATGTGTCTTGATTTAAGGATGTTTAGATATTTGAACTGGAAAACATGACAAAAATACAGAGGAAGATATTCATTCTATTGCAGCGCATGCAACATTTAATGCCACAAATTTATGAATATAAGACATTCTGTTCCAGTTTAAGAACTTTTTAGGCCAGAATTTTTGTCTTGTTTTTCATTACAAATATCTAAACATCCTTAAATCAAGATAGAATCACTTGGGAAGTAAAATGACATAAGATAAGTCTTATTTTATGAAAAAGAAAAAAATAGCTTAAAATAAGAAAAAATGTCTGCCAGTGGGGTCAGAAAAATAATCTTGGGTCACACTTTAGTTTGGGGACCAATTCTTACTTTTAACTAACTATTAACTATGACATCTGCCTCAATTAGTTTGCTGATTATTAATAGTTAGTAAGATATTTTTTCGAGAAGATTTAATAAGCAATTTTGATTCTCAAGTAAATGCATATTGATTAAAAACGTTTAGATGTTTGTCCTGAAAAAACAGACTGAAGAAGAGCATTGTTTTTTGCAGTGTAGTGTTGATTGACGTAACAAGCGGCAGTAATTAAAGGCTTCTTAAGCTGAAAGGTCAGCCTGCGGTTTAATCAGATCTCACGAGCTCTCGAGTTTCATTCGAGAGGACAGGTACGGATCGCAGCTCTCAAACACACAACGGCCCTGTTGTTACAGGCCTCAATGTTCTGCCAGCTCCGTCTCAGAGAAGTCATGCCAGCTCTGCATCAGATGAACTGAGGACGGATTGTGAGTGTAAGGAGGGACGTTAATCCTTCAGAGACTCACACACACACACACACACACT